GGTGGGGGGGCTTTTGATGGGCGGTAATGGGAGAAAGGAACCTCGGGAGGAGAGGAGAGGGGCCGGTGTGTGGGAAGGCGGCTGGGGTGGGGCCGGGGTGGCCATGGGGAGGTACTGGGGCCAGGGCTGACTGGGGAGAGCTTGGTGAGCTCTGCCGGGGATGGCAGTGGCTAGGCTGCCGTGGCCCAGAGCGGTGCTGGCTGATGGGTATGTCTCCGGTCCAGGTGTGGTCTACGACACGTTCATGCTGAAGCATCAGTGCATGTGCGGGAACACACACGTGCACCCTGAGCATGCCGGCCGGATCCAGAGCATCTGGTCTCGGCTGCAGGAGACAGGCCTGCTTAGCAAGTGTGAGGTGAGGGAGCCTCTCCTTCTTCCAGCTCCCTGCCCCCCCAAACCCAGCCAAGGCCTTTGTGTCTCTGTGTCCATGAGGCCTCTCTCTGTGTCTTCCTCATTTTTCTTTCAACCCCTGACCTCAGGGTCAGTCCCTTCAGCCACCTCTCGGTTCCATCCCTCATAGCGCATTTTGCCGAGCGGGGGTGGTCCCGGACTGGGGTATGTGGGGGGCCAGGGCATACAGTAAAACCTGGGATTGTGAGGAACTTGTTCTGCGAGTGTTCCACAAGACGCCTCTAATCAATTTGAACTTGATAAACAAGCGATGTCTTGCAATACGAGTGGTACGGGACGCCGAACGTCACATGATCACCACTGAGCCAATGGTTCTTGAAATTCGCTCTGATATACAAGTGCTTTGGATTATAAGCATGTTTCCGGAACAAAGTATGTTCCCAAAACAAGGTCTTACTGTAGTTTCTCAAAATCCTTTGGATCTCTTAAGGCCAGAAAGCAGCTTCATGTGTCCCGGGCGGTAGGACAGAGAGAGGGTCTGGGCATCAGGGAGAGCTGGGCCTTCAGTGCATCCCCTTACTGGCCTCTTCTGCGCTCCCCGTACAGCGGATCCGGGGTCGCAAAGCCACACTGGACGAGATCCAGACGGTGCACTCCGAATACCACACCCTGCTCTATGGGACCAGCCCCCTCAACCGACAGAAGCTTGACAGCAAGAAGCTGCTTGGTGAGCCAGCAGGCATGGGGCAGGCTGTGTGCGCTGCCCTGGGGGATAGGGAGCTGTCAGCATAGACAATTGGGTCCCAGTGGGCACAGATCATACCCTTGGCCGAGGTGGCACAGCCGCCACATTGCACACCTCCAGGGGGCGCCATTCACATAGACCACCGTGTGGGTGGGGTGCATTGCAGGAGGGTGGAGGGTGGCAGGTCAGGCTTAGTGATGGGGGAGGGCTTTGCTCGTCTCCCTGATCGATCCATGCCCCTTTTTCCCTGCCGTCTGCCCCAGAGGTAAGGTGTTCCCGCCTGAGGACAGGGGACAGACCTCTCCCAACTGGCGTGGGGTGCAGAGGCCTGTCCTGTGCTTGGGTCTGGCCTTCTTTTTTTGGTGCTGGAGCTCACTGCCCTCTGGAGGCCCCAGCCTGTAGCCTTGGCACTTGAGGCAACTTCCAGAGTAGCTTTGTCCCTCTTCCTTGCAGGCCCCATCAGCCAGAAGATGTATGCCATGCTGCCTTGTGGGGGCATTGGGGTGAGTAGGGCACCTGCCAGTAGGGATGGATGGGCGGCACTCCCAGCTCTTGCCCCCCACCCCCCTTTCCCGCCCAGCATGGCCGCTGGCCCACTGTCCAGGTGCCCACCCCCATTCTTGCCCTCCCCCTGCAGGGGGCACGCTGAAGCCTGCTCTCCTGCCCCCGCAGGTGGACAGTGACACTGTGTGGAACGAGATGCACTCCTCCAGTGCTGTGCGCATGGCAGTGGGCTGCCTGGTAGAGCTGGCTTTCAAGGTGGCAGCAGGAGAGCTCAAGGTGAGTGTGTGCCTGGGGCCTCGGCATCACGTGGCCTGGTCCTGCATCCTCGGGTAGAGGACGGGGGCAGCCTTGGCTTTCCCCTGAGCAAGCAGGCAACCTTAACTCTCAGGTGCCAGAGTGGGGGAGAGGTGATGGCTCCCGGGCCGGCCGGGGGGGTGAGTGGTAAAGAGGGACTGGCAAAGAGGCACTAATATCTGATGCTCTCGTGGGTCTCTTGAGATCAGAGGTGGTGTCTACTTGCCCACGTGGCCTGCGGCTGTGTTCTTAGTGCGTGGGATACATGTTTTTGACCTGTGTTCTCTTCCCTGCCTGGTTTGTGTTTCTCTCCTCTGCGTCCACCCCTTCTGTGGCCACCTTGCCTGTCTATCTGTCGTCCCCGTCCTCCTGTCTGCACCTCTTCAGAATGGATTTGCCATCATCCGGCCCCCAGGACACCACGCAGAGGAGTCCACAGCCATGTGAGTGCCACACCCGCCCTGCCCTAGACCCGCTGCCCTCCTCCCTTCCCCTCTCCCTCTCAGCTGAGCTGATGTGTATCTTTTGCTCATGCAGCAAACAATCTGCTAAAGCTGACCTCCCCCATCCTTTTCTCCCCCCACCCACCAGGGGATTCTGCTTCTTCAACTCTGTAGCCATCACAGCCAAACTCCTACAGCAGAAGCTGAACGTGGGCAAGGTTCTCATCGTGGACTGGGTAGGCAGGGGGCTGGTGGGACCAGGGTCAGCCTTCAGGAAGGCACCCCCCCCCCAACACTGCCACCTATTCCTTAGGTGCCCACACTGCTGCTGGGCCTGATGACTTACCTTGTATCTTCCTGCTGGAGCATCAGCCCAGCCCTCCCATTCCCATGGGCCTCCCTCCTTGCTAAGAGAGACTCAAAAGTGGCCTGAGCCCCAGTCCACCTTGGCCCCGACCTTGTAGCCTCAAGCAACCAAGATTTTCTACTGTGAACAGTGTAGACTGTTGCCACCGTTGCTAGAGGTACTCTTGACTGGGGTTGGCTGTGTGCCAGGACACACGGTACCGCTCGTGGTTCGTATCGAGTGGTAGGAGTTAGGATGTGCATTTCTATAAATGGAGAGGCACTGAGCTGTTGGGTGAAATAGCCGACCAAAGTCACAGAGTTTGGGATGTTGGCACTGTGCTTCGGATGAGACCTTTTGGCCCCAGCACTTCTGCTCTTGCTCCTGGGCGCCACTTCTCAAACCCCGCCTCTCACGGCAGAGGGAAAGGCACCCTCCACTCCCCATAACTGGGAAGTAGCCAGGAGCAGTGCTCATCAAAGATGAGGACTCTTTGAAGCCCAACTTTGGCTTAAAAACTCAACGTAAGTTGGGTCCTTCGGAGTGTATCTGCTTTCGGTTCCTTACTAGCCTTAAGGTTTCCCTCCATGCTGTTGAGGACAATGGTGCAGGGCGACCCGCCGTATTCGTCCCACGGCTTTGTATCTCTTCTGTACCGTGCCATGTTCTGGCCCACAGACCCTGGGTAGAGAAGTGTGGGGCGATACTGTTGCGGACAGAACACGCTGCCTTGCACCCCCAGAGTTCACCATAGGGTGGAGGTGGGGAGCAAGTGGAATTTTGACCATTGGGCCCGAGACTGGGCCTTTTTCCTGACACTCCCACGACTCTGCCATCTAGGACATTCACCACGGCAATGGCACCCAACAAGCCTTTTACAATGACCCGTCTGTGCTCTACATCTCCCTGCATCGCTATGACAACGGGAACTTCTTTCCAGGCTCTGGGGCTCCTGAAGAGGTACAGTTCCTGGGTTCAATCAAATATAGGGCCCCTTGGGGAGGTAGCAGAATGGGACCTAGCAGGGAGCCAGGGAGGCCTGTGGTGGTGCTGATATCCAGGGAGTCCGGGCTTCTAGCGGGAGGACCACGCAGGCCAACTGTCCCTCCACCAAGAGCAGCAGTGAGTGGAGTAAGGGCTGGAATCAGGGCTGAGGGCGGGGCCGATGTCTGGGATCCCCAGGCAGTGAGAATAACCCCTCCCCACCACGCTGCCAGGTTGGCGGAGGGCCAGGTGTGGGGTACAATGTGAACGTGGCATGGACGGGAGGTGTGGATCCCCCCATCGGAGATGTGGAGTACCTAACAGCCTTCAGGTGGGCACTGAGAAGGGCCAAGGGCAGGGTGGGAGCCCCCTGGGCCCTGCCATGGGAGGGGCAGAAGGCATTCAGGTTGGTGTGGGTGAGGGGTCTTGTCTCGGGGGGTGGGGGGGAACACAGAGTGAGGGGAGGCCTGGCCTAGCCACCTGCCAGGGTCAGCTTGGGCCCTCCCTTTGCAGGACAGTGGTGATGCCCATTGCCCACGAGTTCTCACCTGACGTGGTCCTGGTCTCTGCCGGGTTTGATGCTGTTGAGGGACACCTGTCTCCACTGGGTGGCTACTCTGTCACCGCCAGATGTGAGCTGCTGGGGGATTGAGGGAGGGCGTGGAGCAGGAATAGACTGGCGTTGGCGGAGGTTGGGAGGAGGAAAGCGGAGGGGCAGGTCCAAGACGTGGAATCGTCTTGGCAGGGGCTTCCCACTCCCTCTGCTAGCCTTGGCCTTGGGGCGGAGGGCAGGCATGTGGGTGTGGGGTAACAGAGGGTAGATCTCCTCCCAGAGTCACAGGGGTGGGACTTGTTGATCCCTATGTTTCAGTGGTGCTCCTTATGACATAAATGGAATTTCTTTTAGCCCACTCGTTCTGTTTTGTCTTTATTTATTTATTAAGATTTTTAAAAAGTTTATTTATTTAAGCAATCTCTACACCCAATGTGGGTCTCAAACTCACGACCCTGAGATCAAGAGCCGCATGCTCCACCGACTGAGCCAGTCAGGCTCCCCTGTTCTCTTTTGCCTTTAACGGAGCATTTAGTCCGTTGACATTGAATTTTATCGTGGATATATATCTGGGTTTAAATCTACTATTGTATTTTGTACTGTTTGTTCCGCCTCTCACGTTGCTTTTTCTTTCCTTTCTTATCTTCTCTTGAATTTTTTTTTTTCCAAACCATTTTGGTTTCCTCACTTCGCCCATCCCTAAAGGTTTTGGCCACTTAACCAGGCAGCTGATGACGCTGGCAGGGGGCCGGGTGGTGCTGGCCCTGGAGGGAGGCCACGACTTGACCGCCATCTGTGATGCCTCTGAGGCCTGTGTCTCAGCCCTGCTCAGCGTGGAGGTAAGGGATGCAGGGAGGCACCGGGGGAAGTGGACTAGTAAGCCAGGGGGTGAGGGCCCAGGGAGAGGCCAGTAAGGGAGGGCCCCTTTCCTGATTAAGCAGCACTGAGCGCCCTTGGGAAGGTTTTCCTGGGTTCCAAAGACACCCGGTGGCTAGGGAGGGCTTTCTGACTCAGGGTTCCTCCTGGGTTCCTCAGGGTTCCTTTCTGCTGTTTACCCTTGTCACGGGAGATGGTTGGGGCTGAATGGGGTGCTCAGAGGGCCAGGCACCGCCACCATAAGCCGTACGCCTTCTCTTCTTTCCCCTGCCAGCTGCAGCCCTTGGACGAGGCAGTCTTGCAACAAAAGCCCAACATCAACGCAGTGGCCACGCTAGAGAAAGTCATCGAGATCCAGAGTGCGTGGGGACAAGGCAGAGAGGCTCAGACCTCGGCTTGCCAAAGGGGCAGAAGCTTGTGGGCCTGCCAGGGCTGGGGATGTAGTATGCTTTCTGTCCTCCCTGATCCCCGTCTACCCCTCGTCCACAGGCAAACACTGGAGCTGCGTACAGAGGTTCGCTGCTGGTCTAGGCCGTTCCCTGCGGGAGGCCCAGGCAGGGGAGACGGAGGAGGCTGAGACTGTGAGCGCCATGGCCTTGCTGTCGGTGGGGGCCGAGCAGGCCCAGGCTGCTGCAGCCCGGGAGCACAGCCCCAGGTAAGGTTCCTCCTGACCTCTGCCCTCACCCAAGCCGGTGCCCCCACCTCAATGCCCCTCCCTGTGCTTGTTCCCACAGGCCGGCAGAGGAGCCCATGGAACAGGAGCCTGCCCTGTGACACCCTGGCCCCCGTCCCTCTGGGCTTCATCATTGTGATTTTGTTTATTTTTTCTATTAAAAACAAAAAGTCACACATTCAACAACGTGTGCTGTGTGGGTCTCTCAGCCTCGCCCCCCCCCCCCCCCCCCCCCCC